TTCTGTTTTATGGGAGTATCAAACAACAACAACGGGGCAGAGAGAGAGAGAGAGAGAGAGGCACTGTAATTGGTCTAAAAGGGTGACACTATGTTTGATCCATAAGGGTGGCACTATGATTGGCCATTATGAATTAATCTTAGTGCCACCCTTAAATCTGTACCCACTCATGACAACACACAAAGATGGATGATTACTAAAGGTTCTTAGTTTAAGCTCTATCCTTATCTTAAACCAGAGATGAAACAGAGAGTGCGATAATGATTGAGGTTGGTGAAAAAAGACAAACGTATTTTTAGGAATTTTTTGAGGATCTTTGCTGAAATTACCTCAGCTAAAAACATTTTATCTTTTCTAAATTACAAACCAAAGAACGTAACTTACATTCAGGTTACATTAAGAAGCGCTTTCACATGTGTACCCAAAGAATTTAAGTACGAACCACTTACAATGATCCAACAGCGGGGAGGAGGAGCTTAAACAATTCTAGCACAGTGAGTATAAAGTCTTGTAATCTCAAGTCATTATTGTTTTTTACCTGGACATAAATGGATAATTGATTGACCATGACTACAGCTTAACATTTAGTTCTCTCAGTGCCATGATGATTATTACCTCATGTACACGTGTAGTTATTGGAGGCTGTTTTACGATGTAGCGTTTATTTATAGTTGTGCAAAGGTGTAAAGTAGAGATATCATTGAAGACGCGTTGCTTACACTACCAGACATGGAAGGAGGTCATTTTGGGCGAGTCCTTCTTTTCCTCCCCACACACCCCCCGACACACCCGCCACACACCTGCCACACACACACACCCACACACCTGCCACACACACCCCTGACACACCTGCCACACACACACACCCTGACACACCTGCCACACACACCCCTGACACACCTGCCACACACACCCCTGACACACCCACACACACCCTGACACACCCACACACACCCCTGACACACCTGCCACACACACCCTGACACACCTGACACACCCCTGACACACACACACACCCTGACACACCTGCCACACACACTGACACACCTGCCACACACACCCGACACACCCCTGACACACCTGCCACACACACCTGACACATCCACACACCACCTGGACACACCCCTGACCACCTGACACACCACCACCTGACACACCTGACCACACACACACACCACACACACACACCTGCCACACACACCCCACACACACCTGACACACACACCCCACACACCCACACACACCCACACACACCACACCCCTGACACACCTGACACACCCCCTGACACACACACACACCCTGACACACACACACACACACCTGCCACACACACCCTGACACACCTGCCACACACACACACACCACCACACACCTGACACACACTGCCACACACCCCTGACACACCTGCCACACACCCACACACCCCACACACCCCACACACCCCACACACACACACACACCTGACACACACACCCACACACACACCACACACACCCACACCCGCACACACACTACCCCTTCATATAATCACCTAAACTCGAACCCACAACCAGAACACGCAATTGTATAACAGTATTTTCACTGGATTATCTTCGTATTACACTCCCTCCTTACACCCCGGATTACACCCCTGATTACGGATTACACCCTCGATTACACCCCTGATTACCCCGATTACACCCTGATTACACCCTGGATTACACCCCGATTACACCCCTGGATTACACCTGGATTACACCCCTGGATGATTACACCTCGGATTACACTCGGATTACACCTCTGGATTACTTTCGATTACACCTCGATTACACCCTCGATTACTTCCTCGGATTACACCCTCGATTACACCCCTGGATTACTCCCCGAATTACACCCCCTGTTATAATATTTACTACTTCATAATAGGGCAGCCTACAGACCTGACCAAACAGACCCTCTCCTCACCTGACATAATGTGCCCTGATTTCACGTCATTGAGTCCAGTCCAGTCCTAGGGCCCCAGACCTGATGGGCCCCAGACCTGATAAGCCATGGACCCACACCCACACAATTCAACCCTCCACCACACCACCCCATGTCCCCACCACCACCACCACCCATGTCCTCCACCACTCACCACCTCCACCACCACCATGTCCCCACCACCACCACCACCACCCATGTCCCCACCACCACCACCACCACCCATGTCCTCCACCACCACCACCACCCATGTCCTCCACCACCAGGTCCACCACCCATGTCAAGTGGCCCGGATGCGGTTCCACAAGACCCACAATGCATCATCGTTCTACTCAAATTTATTACGGGAAATTTCGTGTAGTTTTTATTAAAGGTACGACGTTACTGAGGCGGGAGTAATGGCTCTTAACTCCCTGTAAACTATTTAATTTTCTTTTAATGTTAAGTTTTATGGTAGATGTGTGAGGTAATTGGGGGGGAAGGGGTGAGAGTGATACTTTGTCAGTTTATTATTGCCTCAAATATTCAGCGAATTAACCAATCAGAAATGAGGAAAAAATCGTAGAGATATTTAGAGAGGCTGTTGGACTACGACACTAGAGTTAAACGAATCATTATTTCGTCACACTGTATCACCAATCAGCTCTTGATGTTGTTTTAATGTATTAACTTACTTCAACATTTGACATCTTTAAACACATAACACACGTGTAAAGTTAATTTTTATACTAGTCAATAACTATTAATAATTAGGAAAGAATAAAAACAAAATAATAATAATAATAAGTTCATAACAACAGCAGCTCAGGAATAATCAGGGTGACGGAGGGGTCATTCCCTCGCCATCTGTTGACGGCTTAATGAGTCATCCCGTGATCATAATAAGTGAAGCAGCAGTACAGGAACATTCAGCCAATGAGAGAAGAGCAGAGGAACATGTAAGATTTGTTCATAAGCTCCGCCCTTCGCCCTTTGCTCAGAGCCAATGTGAAAGCGTTCATGCACGACCTACTGTGCGAAGTTGTTTTTTATTGGCTGAAAGACTTTAGCGTTACATGACTCACTGCAGGAGGCGTTATTGCGAGAGTATACTGTACAGACTGATTCAGAGATCGGATAATATTGGTTGATTTACTAGTTCATTTTTAATACAACGTGTGCTTAGATAAAAGTTCACCCATATCAGTTCTCGAAGGTAGGAAGGAGTGTTCATCTTTCTCAACATCCACATATAGACTTAATCACATTATTGTTGTTGTGGGTTGTACCTCAAGACAACCACCTACTGTAACTTGATTGTGTACATCTGAATTGCGCTCCACAGCGTTTTCCGCGCTGTTCTCCTATTGGCTGAGTGTTAAACCGCTGCTCTCTGGTTGGCTGAGAGTGAAAATAATTTTATACCACCTGTTGTCAGCGGCCTAGGAAAAAAAATCTGGAATATCATCAACAAAAACAGTAAGTGGTTCACAAATTAGTTATATTTCCTCAATTCTTCACACGAGAGGAAGTTACTCCTTTGATCTAATTACGAATATGATGGAGCGACCACAATAAAGTAAAGTGACCATAATAATCAACAGGTAAACAGTAGATTTGGAAGTTTACGGGGTTTTTTTTTTGCGATGTTGTCTGAAGAAATAATAATAACTGATTCTCACTCTTCGCATCTGTGGTAGTCAGTGATTTTAAAATTTTGGCAAACTCTTACTGACTACCTTGAAGATACCTAGTACTGTCATTATCATCATCATAATCATCAAAATCATCGTCATCACTATCATCATCATCACTAATATCATCATCACACCCATCATCAGCATAATCATTACCATCATTATCAAAACCATCATCATCATTATCGTCATCAGCACTACCATCATCAGCACTACCATCATCAACATAATCATTACCACCATCATCACTATCATCATTACCACCATCATCACTACCACCATCATCACTACCATCATCAGCATAATCATTACCACCATCATCACTACCATCATTAGCATTACCATCATTACAACCACCATCACTACCATCATTACCACCATCATCACTACCATCATTAACCTCATCACTACCATCTTCAGCATAATCATTACCACCATCATCACTACCATCATCAGCACTACCATCATTACCATCATCACACCATCGTTACCACCATCATCACTACCATCATTCATCATCACTACCATCATCAACCATCATCACTACCATCATCATCACTACCATCATCAATCATCACTACCATCATCATCACTACCATCATCAACCTCATCACTACCATCATCAACCTCATCACTACCATCAGCATAATCATTACCACCATCATCACTACCATCATCAACCATCATCACTACCATCATCAACCTCATCACACCATCATCAACCATCATCACTACCATCATCAACCTTTTTCATCACTACCATCATCAACCATCATCACTACCATCATCAACCTCATCACTACCATCATCACTACCCCTCATCAGCATAATCATTACCACCATCATCACTACCATCATCAACCTCATCACTACCGCCATCATCACTACCATCATCAGCACTACCATCATTACCACCATTATCACTACCACCATCATCACTACCATCATCAACCTCATAACTACCACCATCATCACTACCATCATCAGCATAATCATCACCACCATCACTACCATCATCAACCTCATCACTACCATCATCATCACTACCCTCATCAGCATGATCATTACCACCATCATCACTACCATCATCAAACTCATCACTACCATCATCAACCTCATCACTACCACCATCATCACTACCATCATCAGCATAATCATTACCACCATCATCACTACCATCATCAACCTCATCACTACCATCATCATCACTACCCCTCATCAGCATAATCATTACCAGCATCATCACTACCATCATCAACCTCATCACTATCATCATCAAATTCCAAAGCCTCTTACTACAAAAAAAAACTAAAATAAAAAACAACTGTGGTCCCAAAACGATGGAACTAGAAAAATCATTTACAATATGAATTCCCGTGTGAAACGTATCGTAGAAACCCGTCAAGCTGCCGCTGTGGTCGAGCGTCAAGGAGCTCGACGATGGAACAAACGCCACCCTGGTCCAAAAATGGTAGGGAAAAATAATCTCAATACATCAACGGTAAATTCCCGCGTGAGACGTATCGTAGAAACCCGCCAAACAGCCGCTCTAGTCGAACGTCAAGAAGCTCGCGAGTGGGTTAAAAGTCTCCAAACAGCCTCTTAAGTCGAAAGTCATGAAGTTCGACAAAGTTCCTGCCTACCACCATACGTAAATGAACTTAGTAGTGATGAGGTGAAAAATATAAAAGTCCTAAAACAAATTGGAGAGGGAACGAACGGCACTGTATCGCTCATCCAGTATGAGGGTGAGCTGAGGGCTATGAAAGTCCTCTGCGACTCCGATCTTGAATTTTTGTTCGAAGAGATCCAGATGCTCAGAAAACTGAACGGAGCTGGTGGTGCCCCTGTTTTGCATAGCGTTTGTATCGATCCCTTTATCATTATCCAGTCATATGTAGGGATGCCATACGAAGAATACTTATCACGTTCCTCACCCAATGAGGTTCTCTTCTCCCTGGTAAAACTTGGTGAAAGATTATCAGAAATTCACCAGAAAAATTTGTCACACAACGATTTGAAAGTAGACAACGTCACCGTCACCTTGCTGCCAGGTGGTGAGGCCGACCTACATATTATCGACTATGGTGAATGCAGCGTATTCGGTATGCCTTTAGACGAGGTATACAGTGTAATGGACAGTGCGCGCATCTACTGGGTTGCCCCAGAAGTGAAGAGGGGTGATGTCATCACACGCGCCTCCGACGTTTATTCATTCGGACACATAATTCATACGATTTATGCAGAGTTCACGAGCTTTAATGATTCCATTAAAACTCGCCTCCGCGATTTGCATCTGAGAGCCGCCAAAGTCGACCCCGAAGTCAGACTATCACTGGATAGCCTAATCGGTCATTTGACCGAACTGGCTCACCAAAACCAGTGAATAAAATTGTGAACGCGATACATATGTCATTGTAATATTTCTAATAAAGTTTCTTTGTTTATCCATACAAGTTTAATTTATATCATAACATTTTACATACTGTAATATAAACTGTGTAGTCAATATTATGCATAAACACTTTAGTTTGCCATATTTCGTAAAGAGCATGACCAATTTCAATGATTTTGTTTATATTTTACAGGTAAAATATACAATTAACCTAACCTAACCTAACTCACGATCCCCTCATGTTTACTCATTACTTGAGTGTTTATAAATAAATGTGACTCAGCCTTTAGTATAGCCTGTGGTGTACACTGTGTGGTGTACATTGTGTACACTGTGTGATGTACATTGTGTGGTGTACATTGTGTACACTCTGTGGTGTACAATGTATAAACTGGGTGTTATACAATTTTTCAATTGGGTTATATACACTGCGTAAACTAGGTGGTGTACATTGGGAATTGCTGCTACCGCGTCACGAGGGCTCGGGGGAGGGTGTTGACATAATGATCTTATATGCCCTGCAGAACTAATATGGCGTAAAGGAACAAGAAATAGTGTTATAAAGGAAATAGGTCATACCTTGCCTGCCACGCCATCTGTTGACAAATTTATTAACAGCTCAGTGAAAAGAAAATTGCGGGGGAATATCTAGCCAAAGGAGCTCCCTTTACCGATTACATCATCTTCCAGGGCCAATTATGAATATCTATATCATGGCGAAATGCACAAAGTTCTTTCTTATTGATTGAAGACCTGCTGTCGAGTTCGTCACTTTGTCAACAGGTGGCACAAGCTGCCTGACTCACTCCCTCTGACTATTTGGCGTGGCAGTATATAGCGAGATTAAAAAGTACGGAATTATTGGACTACTAACAATTCAGTTATTATTGTAGTTCTTAATAATAGGTTACTCTGAACGCTTGTTAACATTGAAACATTGACTTTATAACATTAGTAACTTACTGTTGTGGTTTTAACGCAGAATGACAATTTAATTAATGAATCCTGATGTTTGTTAATCATCTTGTACTTCGTTCCCACGCTGTTCTCCTATTGGGTGAGTGATACCCTGGTTCTATCTGATTACCTGATGAGAAAACTAGTTCCACACGTTAATAATTAGGCTGTTGTCTCAGGTAATAACAGCAGGTGAGTTCATAAATACGAGTTTCTGTCATTTTCTTGTTATTTCATTTCGTGCTTCACCTCACAAACTTATTAATATAACTGAGACTAAAATTTAATCAAGACATTGTGACAAAGTAAAATAGATTCAGTGTTAATAAAGTCAAGTAAATAAGTTAAATAAAGGCATTAGTATCTGTATATAGATTTCTTGTGTGTTTATCATAACCTCACTAAAGAGATTCTCAACTATCTGTGATATAAGAATATGCTATATGCTTTATTTTGTATAGAATTTGTATTATAAACCTTAATGCCTATCTCCATAAAGCTCATGAGAACTAACACCAGTATTTACTCAGATGTTTACAAATTAACATACAAACTGAAGTAGTGTTTATATTAAAGGAGAAAGATTTTAGTCATCAATTATTGTACTTAAGTCTACAGGGTTTGTGTAGGTGGTAATGATTAAGCTCCAAAGTTTCTGTTAATTCTCTGTTACGTTCACAGCTCCAGATCATGAGAGAGAGAGAGAGAGAGAGAGAGAGAGAGAGATCATACGGAACCTGGTATGTTTCATGGTGACACGAAAATCATACGGCAGGTTATAGTAATCATACGGTGAGGTCCTAGTAAACACCATAATCATTCTGAATCTCCGAGTTCATACGGCAGGCTGGCAGGACTCATACTGTACTTCATAAGGTGTTGTAAATCACACGGTACCTGTATGGACATATTGAAGAACATTTATCAACAGAGCTCTCATAAAACATCACTAGTATGACAGCCATTGATCATACGGGACTACCTGATGGACCTGTCACCTACGGCACCTTGTGAATGATATAACACGGGGATATCGACTGTACGGAGTCCTCTGTGTGATTTCCCAAAGCCTTATCATCCTCAGGGACTAAATATCATACGGCTGCTTTCGTCTTCAACACGGGACAACACGAATCATACACCATCAAGGAGATGTGAATCATACGGAGGTCTCATAAATCACCACCTGTATGACCTTCTTCTTCCTGACAGAGGGCTGTAGAGGCTCCGTGTCTGCCAGATCCATGAACGGGGAGTCGCCGTTCTCGTCGCCGTTCAGGTGGGCTTTCAGGAGTTCCACAATTCTGGCGTCGTTCCTCATCTTGGGGTCCATTTTGGAGAGAGCTTCCAGCCTACTGCTCAGCTGAATGGCATTGCGGAGGTCCTGTGGGAGAGAAGGAGTGGTAGAGAGTCCTTGAAGTCCTGTGGGTGGGAGAGAAGGAGTGGAAGAGAGTCCTTGAGGTCCTATGGGTGGGAGGGATGGAATAGGTAGGAACATGCGAGGTACCACAAGTGTAAAAGAGAGTTAATTAGTTCTATAGAGTGAGATAAATGCCTTATTTACGTGTATAAGCGTTACGTAGGCCTATAAGGAGCTACTTAGGCCTATAGGAAGAGTAAGCTAGGCCTATAAAGAGTTACTCAGGCTTTTTAGGAAGATGTGGAGCTATTTAGGAACTGTAGGCTGACTTGTGTTGACCTGTACTGACCCTAAGATCTTTCATCAGGTGGACGTCTATGTTGATATCGCCAGCCTGTTCACCGATACGACGCAGGTGATCAGCTAGGGGACCAGACAGCTCTCCAAGACGGCCACTCAGCTCCTGCCGCAGTCACAAGTAAGAGTAAACACACTAACTTGAAGCAAACAAATCATTAACTTAAAGTAAACAACATATTAACTAGAGACAAACAATACCATAATTTATAACATACATACATACATACATACATACATACATACATACATACATACATACATACATACATACTTACATACATACATACATACAGTAAGCTTTACCTTCATCTGTTGCCAGCTTTCAGCGTACTGCCGTCTAACGAGCTCAATGATGGTTGAGGTGAGAGCCAGGCCAATCAGAATATAGAGTGTACACACCAACATGAACTCCGTCCGTTCTGAGTGCGTGAACGAGAGAGTGAGTTAGTAAATGTGTGTGAGTTAGAGTAAGTGAGAGTGTGAGTTAGTGTGAGTTAGTGAAAATGTGTGAGTTATTGAGAGTGAGTGAATGAGTGAGTGAATGAGTGAGTGAATGAGATGTAAATAAAAATGAGGTCTTACTACTACTACTACTACTACTACTACTACTTTTTTATAGTGGCCTCCAGCCTCCCCAATAGCCACACCTTCGCCACCATTTATTTACCTTAATATTAAATATCCTAATACATAAGAAGCTATCCTATCTGTGTTAAATTAGTTGAGCCGCAGATCGATGCGGCATTCGGTGACTGTAGCCTCATAGTCGATATCTGCAGCAGTTGACGGAGTAGGGGCAGAAGCTCTCGTTCCCCTGAGGCAGAGCAAAGCCGACCGAAGGAGAGAGAAGGACAGTCGACATCTCATCCAGGCTGTGACATAACTTCTGGGCTGCTGCTTCTGTTCGGAGATCAGCTCCGCGAGTCTGGCGTAGAAACATCTTGCGCTTGGGCCCATCCCACCAGAGGTTGTGAACACTAGCGGAGTGAAGCTGCCTTGATCGACATTTTGAATTCTCTCCCCATATGCCCTTCTCTTGTCGTTCTCGTTCCTCCTATGTGCAGCATCGAGAGCTAGGTTACGGTGACAAACGGCCATGGGATCAAAAATCCTGATGTCGAAGAAGGCTCGCTGTCCCCGCGTCCAGAATCCTCGAGCACTGACGTCCACACGGGCTTCGTTAGATGTGTTTGAAGTCCTGTGTTGGAGGATCTCGCCATCCAGTGGAAGGAGGGTCGGTTCTACCATGACGTCCCGGCAGGTTTCCTTCAACATATTTGCTGTGAGATCCCTTACCTCGTCATGCCTCATGCATATGAAGCCCCCCTTCTTGCAAACCATGGCGTGATCGCCATCATAGGAATAGCCACACACGCATTGGGAGGGCAAACCATCTACTGGCCAACCGTATCTTAGAGCAATGGCATCTGTAAATTCTTGTTTGTTAAGGCTGAAACCATTTGCCCTTATCGGTAACGTAGTTAACCAGTTCGAGGCGCCCACCTCCTGCGCTATAGCTACTTTTTTTGTCAGATTTTCTGGAACCTGCAGCAATAGTTGCTGCAACATGTCATTTTGGCAGTGCTGCCGATCTGTTGTAATGGATCTACGGATCTTATTAACTTCGCTGGTGTCCACTTCCCCTGTTGCATTCTGGGCTATTATGTGGTCAGTGAGGGCTGCCGTGAGCTTAAGTGAATTTTGATGTTCAGAGTCAGCAATCTCCTCTGGATTAGTTAGTCCCATCCCTCCCAGTCTTGGTGGAAGTGCAAGAAGTGTTCTTTCTACTGGGGTTAAGTCGTGGTGTTTCACTAGTTTGGGAATGAACTTGACACTGATTGCTTCTTCCAAAGGGTGGAGGAGGGGTCGGATCTCAGGGATGGTACGCATCAGGTAGTTCCAACGATGCTTGACTCCATGTGTGAATGCTGCAAAGGCCGCATGTGGCTCTGTGTTAGCAATCTCCGATAGAGCATGGATTTCGCTAACCCACTCATTCACCTTTCCCTTACTACTACTACTACTACTACTATTCAATCATAAAAATAATAATAATTATAGTGTTCATAATATCAACATCAACTACAATAATATTAAGAAGAGCATTAACCTAACCTAACCTAACCTAACCCAACCTAACTCTTAACACACACACACACACACACACACATAGACTCACCAGGGACCAGATCACCCAGGCCGATTGTAGTCATGGTGATGAAACAAAAGTAAAACGCCTCGAAGAACGTCCAGTCCTCCCACAGGATAAAGATGCCTCCTCCTATAGAGATGTACACAAGCAAGGCCCCAACTGCACCCAGTACAACTAACCCACGGGAGCCTGGTCCTGTACCCGTTAATCGGAGCTTCTGCAAGGAGATCGCCGTCAGGGGGTTTAAGTGAATGTTCAGTCCTTCTACGGGATAAAGAGGGTCTTATTCTATAGATACATGAAGACACACGAGTAACAACGCTCCCCTACGGCACCTAACACCACCAGGACGTCGTCAGGAGGGGTTATAGTTAGCGCCATCTGTAGGTTGAGGGGAAGATTGTTATATCAGTGAGATCAGGGGAGAGAGAGACGGAGATATGAGGAAAGGAGAATGAAGGAAAGCAAATGAGATGGAGAGATAGAGGCAATAGAAAAGATAGAGAGACAGACTGAGGGATAGACAGCAGTCATTTCTAGACGAAAACAATTTCCCGAAATGTCTAAACTTGGAACCAGAGCAGAGTTAAGTGTGTGTGTGTGTGTGTGTGTGTGTGTGTGTGTGTGTGTGTGTGTCTGTGTGTGTTGCCGTCTGTATTAAGGCCACACACACACACACACACACACACACACACACACACACACGCCATGAGTTTCAGAAATGGATAGAAGGAAATTGCCTCAGTCAGTCACACACAAACAATAAATAAAACAAAAGCACATTAATTCTCCTGTGTTTTGTGACTTGGTTTATCGAGCCCCCGACCTATAAACAGGAGAGAGAGAGAGAGAGAGAGAGAGAGGGGGGGGGGGGGGAGCCTCAAAATATGACCAAACCTTCCAAGAACTAGTGTCAGGTGCTTTGTGGAGTAGCTAAAACTCATCCCAGATCAAGATAATGTTATGACTTCATTGTACCTGACTCCATTATACCTGACTCCATTGTACCTGACTCCATTGTACCTGATTCCATTGTACCTGACTCCATTATACCTGACTCCATTATACCTGACTCCATTATACCTGACTCCATTGTACCTGACTCCATTGTACCTGACTCCATTGTCTGTCTACGACTCCATTATACGACTCCATTGTACCTGACTCCATTGTACCTGACTCCATTGTACCCGATTCCATTGTACTGACTCCATTATACCTGACTCCATTATACCTGACTCCATTATACCGACTCCATTTACCTGACTCATTATACCTGACTCCATTATACCTGACTCCATTATACCTGACTCCATTGTACCTGACTCCATTGTACCTGACTCCATTGTACCTGACTCTGTTCCGTGTTCTTAAGCTGTTGTTAATTATTGTTTTCGTGTTTTTTTATTGTTCATGTATTCGTGTGTTTTATGAGTGTGCTTTGTGATTTAACAGTTAGTCTCGCAGTCACTCAGTCACTCAGTCAGTCCGTCAGTCAGTAACTCTGTCAGTCACTCAGTCAAATCAGTAGATGTGTCAGTCATTCAGTCAGTCGGTCAGTCAGTCAGGCAGTCATGCTCGTGTTGATATACAGGAATTGCACGCACCCAGCAGACCTCCTTCCTCCTCTTCCTTTCCCTCCTCCTTCCTCCTTCTTCCTCCTCCTCCTCCTCCTTCTTCCTTCTTCTCCTCCTCCTCTTCCTCCTCCTCCTCTTCCTCCTCCTCCTCCTCCTTCCTTCTTCCTCCTCCTCTTCCTTCTTCCTCCTCCTCCTCCTTCTTCCTCCTCCTCTTCCTTCTTCCTCCTCCTTCTTCCTCTCCCTCCTTCCTCCTCTTCCTTCTTTCCTCCTCTTCCTTCTTCCCCCTCCCTCCTCCTCCCTCCTCCCTCTCCTTCTTCCCCTCTCCTCCTCTTTCCTCCCTCCTCCTCTTCCTTCTTCCCTCTCCCTGCCCCTCCTCCTCCTCCTCTTCCTCTTCTTCCCTCTCCTGCTCCTCCTCCTCTTCCTTCTTCCTCCTCCTCCTCCTCCTTCCTTCTTCTCCTCCTCCTCCTCCTCTTCCCTTCTTCCCCCTCCTCCTCCTCTTCCTTCTTCCCCCTCCTCCTTTCTCCTCCTCCTCCCTTCCTTCTTCCTCCTCCTTCTTCCTCCTCTTCTCCTTCTTCCCTCCCCTCCTCCTTCCTTCTTCCTCCTCCTCCTCCTCCTCCTCTCCTCCTCTTCCTCCTCCTCTTCCTTCTTCCTCCTCCTTCTTCCTCCTCCTCTTCCTTCTTCCCCCTCCTCCCTCTTCCTTCTTCCCTCTTCTTCCCTCCCTCCTCCTCCTCCTCCTCTTCCCTTCTTCCCTCCTCCTCCTCCTCCTCCTCTTCCTTCTTCCCTCCTCCTCTTCTCCTCCTCCTCCTCTTCCTTCTTCCCTCTCCTGCTCCTCCTCCTCCTCTTCCTCTCCCTCCTCCTCCTCCTCCTCCTCAGACCCAAACTTTATCTACCAACACGCCAATCTGCCACTCGCGTTTTTATTACATTTTACCGCTACGGAAACAACCCTTGATCATAGTCTTTCTTATACACTATTTTGTTTACGTTTCTGGTTGTCTGTGTTTGGTTGCGTGCGTGCGTGTGTGTGTGGAGGTGTGGTTGTATTTTTTGTATGTACGTTGATTTGGTGTGTGAGTAATTTTTTATTTATTTTTTTTTGTTTCTAAATTAAATGTAATGTATTTAAGGGTAATTTAACGTGATTTAATTTAATTTAATCTACACACCTGACGGATATTTCTCTCTGCTACATACAGGTACATACATAATCGTGACCACTAACGCCGCTGAGCTTACATAAATCTTCAGCGATACACGGTGTTATTACCTGCCGTCTCTCTCGCCACTATTATGCTACATGGCAACTGTACCTGCTACGGGAGTGTTGCCCACCTGTGATTATTATTATTATTATTATTATTATTATTATTATTATTATTATTATTATTATTATTATTATTAGTAGTAGTAGTATAGTAGTAGTAGTAGTAGTGGTAGTAGTAGTAGTAGTAGTAGTAGTTGTAGTAGTTGTAGTCGTGTCAGTTAGTGGTTTATACAGGTGTGTGTGTGTGTGTGTGTGTGTGTGTGTACGCATCTGCATGTCTGTATGAATGTTTATATGCTGAACACGTATATAACAGCAGTACACCTTAAGAACACCTCAACAGCAGCAGAACACCTCACTCACCTTGACGGCTCCACAGTTCTTGGTGATAGCGTGGAAGTTCTTAGAGAATGATGAGACCAAGTTAGCGAAGATGTTTCCCAGGTCTGATATTACAGTCAGGGTAACCGGGATACCCACGAACCCATACAGGATACAGAAGAACCTGCCCCATGCTGTAACCGGAGCCATATTGCCGTACCCTGAGGTGTGAGGAGAGGGGGGTGAGTGAGAGGGGATGATGAGAGGGGAGAAAGGGTAGATGGAAAGGAAGAGAGAAAAGAATGGAGGAAGTAGAGAGAGAGAGAGAGAGAGGGGAGGGAGGGGTCTGGGGGCATAGTTAGAACGACTAGATTTACATACGACACTAATAGACCCCTGAGATAGTTAAACCTCTTGTGTGTGTGTGTGTGTGTGTCAGGTCGTAGTTACGTGGTTACTAATGAGCTGTGTGTACCTAGTTATTATTTAGGCATCATGGTGAAGTAGTAGTAGTTGTTATTGTTAGTGTACTATTAGTGTAGTGTAGCAGTGGTTACACACGCACGCACACGCACACGCACGCACACACACACACACACACAATACGCCACACCTATAGTGGTATACAGTGGAAGCAATACACTTTCAATATAGTTCCATTGGTAACTTGGTTCTGAGGCCGGAGTGTGAGACACGCCTGCCTGACCGCTGTTTTTACTTTACCTCATACCAAGCCGCAGCGCTATTTCGACACCCGCACCTGCAGGAGAGAGAGAGATAGGAGAGAGAGAGAGAGAGAGAGAGAGAGAGAGAGAGAGAGAGACAAGTTTATCATACAGCAGAAATTCTAATGTGAAGAAAATGACACCACTAATATGACACCACTAATATGACACCACCTGTATGACCCACTTATATGACACCACCAATATGACACCACTAATAGACACCACTAATATGACACCACTATTATGACACCACTAATATGACACCACCAGTATGACCCACTTATATGACACCACTTATATGACACCACTAATATGACACCACCAGTATGACACCACTAGGGTCTCAGTATACTCAGGCTTGACACATAAACACAGGCTTAAGGGAGAGATATAGACCAGTATACTGAGGCCATGTGACGGAGTATAATGACGTCATAACCTCTTCCTCTTCCTCCTCTTCCTCCTACTCCTCCTACTCCTCCTCCTCCTCCTCCTCCTCTTCCTCCTCTTCCTATTCTCCTCCCTCCTCCCCCCTCCTCCTCCTCCTCACACACACACACACACACACACACTTGGTTCATGTTTGTCAGTAATTCTGTGGGCATGTGGGAGTGACCATAATATACACACACATGTACACATATCCTTTACGTACATGAATGAGAATCTTACGTACACATGTAGACACAGAACCTTAATTAGTTTGGATATAGTGTGTGTGTGTGTGTGTGTGTGCGTGTCGGTCTTGCTGAAGCTTAAGAAATTATTATGCAGTAAATTTTTGTTGGGTTGAGTTTAATCCTCCTTCCTTCTTCTTCCTTCAGCCTTCCTTCTCCTCCCTCTTCCCTTCCCCCTTCTTCCTTCACCTCTCTCCCATCTACCCCCTCCCCTTCACTTCCTGACTTACTTCACTGACTTGACTGATGGAGGTTTTCGTCGTTACTTAAGAGTATTTATTCTTGTAGTTATTCTGTTGTACTTACATAATCTCGGAGGAGAGAGAGAGAGAGAGAGAGAGAGAGAGAGTGATCAGAACCTTACTTATTATCAAACTCCTTTTCAGAATTTACAGTGACTCTCTCTCTCTCACCTGGTACTCAGCTCTCTCTCTTCTTCTTTTCTTTTCTCTCTCTCTCTCACCTGGTACTTGAAGAGCGAGGGGCGGACATATTCACCAGCGCCTGAAGGAACTCGGAGCGACTCTTGACCAAGGCGGCTCCAGCAACCCCCTGAGCCTGTACCTCTGCTGGATGTTCCAACACCTGGAAGATCTGGAAGACAGGTGTAAGGACAGGTGTAAAGACAGGTGTAAGATAGATATTCTCATTACATACATACACACACATACAGCAAGAGAGAGAGAGAGAGAGAGAGAGAGAGAGAGAGAGACTACCAGTGGTCAGGCCATCAGTAGTCACAGTGTTACCAACATTACCAATCACCATAAGAGCTACAATATGTACAGTAAACTAGCAGGGTAGCCAACATTGCTCCCTCCCCCTCCCCCCTTAGGACGGTTTGAAGTTTTATTTTTACTACGAGATAAAAAATGGAGTCTTGATATTTTACTGTAATTGATATTATTATTAGAGATGCTATTTTTTTTTTTTTTAGTAGAATTTGGGTTAAAAGATTAAATATAAGGTCAGGAAGGGAGATGGGCGGGGGATTGTTTTTTTTGTGTGTGTGTTCCAATAATGTTTGACGTGGTGGTCATCGATCACCCTCTACTCGTATCAGGCTTCTAAAAGATTAATCACAAAAACTTTACTTTAGGAAATATTACTTTATTTTGGGGTGGTATCTTTTTATATTTGGTGTTCTTTATCTTGTTTTTATAGAGAGATTGTGTTTTTTTTTTGTGAATATAGAGAGAAATTCGGTGTTAGTGCTTTTAAATTAAGGGAGATGGGATGTCAGCTGAACACACACACACACACACACTAGATGGCGCCATAAACAAATAATGACGTCACATATCCACCATACTCTCTCTCTCTCTCTCTCTCTCTCTCTCTCTCTCTCTCTCTCTCTCTCACCTTGGCCCCAGCGGCTGTATACACAATGAAGAACAGAAATAGACCGAACTTCGGCGCGTTCTTCTTCAGGCTCGTTACCCATGCCACCCAGCGACTTCCCAGTGCCCTTGCCACCCCGCCACCGCCCACGCCGCCCACCTCCGCCTCGTTGTTCCTACACATATGGGTGGTTGGGTGGTCCACTGGATCTGTAATAGAGAGTGTGAGTGATAATGTGATGAGAAACAATTAATGTGAGAAAGAGAGAGAGAAAGAGGAGAGAGAGAGAGAGAAAGAGAGAGAGAGAGAGAGAGAGAGAGAGAAGGACAAAGGGTACAAAAACAATAATATCACATAAACTCACTACAACACAGCCAAGACCACACAGTAAAGACAGGTAACATAACTAATCATTCCAGGTAGCTCAACACATTACAGGTAATAAGCAGGTGTAAACGTAATTCCTCCCCTCCCCTTCATTATCCTCAATATATCACGAAGTTAAAAGCCTAGAAGTAATGTAATGTTAACTTCAGCTCCCCGGAACACGTATTCATACTTGGGTGTCTTGTTTAATTCACCATTTCCATGCTTGTCTACACCTGCCGAGGGAACCATTCTCATAAATTACTGACAGGGATATGATTTAGTTATTAATTTTTTTTATATAAGGTAATAATTTCTTGCTATGTATCTAAGGTATTATATGTAATGATAATAATGACGTTTGTTTACCTTATTGAGTCTTTAAGGTGTGTTTAATTGGCTCAGTGAACACCTGTTATACCTGGGGGATTTTATACCTGACTTATTGGTAATGTTGCAAGATGGTGGTGATAGTGGTGGTGGTGGTGGTAGTGGTGGTGGTGGTGGTGATAGTGGTGATAGTGGTGGTGGTGATGGTAGTGATGGTGGTGATAGTGGTGGTGATAGTGGTGATGGTGGTGATGGTGGTGATAGTGGTGGTGATAGTGATGGTGATGGTGATAGTTTTGGTGATAGTGGTGATGGTGGTGATAGTGGTGGTGATAGTGGTGGTGGTATATCCTTGAATAATATTCTATTGTGTAACTTGTAAAACATCTGGACATGAGTTTGCAGTATTGAGACTTGAACTTTGAGCTGGTGGACGTGACAACAACACGAGTCAGTCAGTGAGTCAGTCAGTCAGTCAGTCAGTCAGTTAGATGAAATGATTTTAAGCTCTATAATGTCCCCACCACTAATTACATTATTGTTTGTGTAATACGAAATAATTACACCTTTGCATGTATTACACCTGAGTTAGTGGCGCACCGGATTCGGATAGGGATTCATTCATGTTCGGATTCGCCTACTTTAAACAAACCATTCCTTACCCTAACCAAATCTAATCTCCCCTAACGTAACTTCACCCACCCCTAACCTACCCCTAACACTAACCTAGCTTAACCTGATCTTATACCTACTGCCTAAATATGAAAACAAAAACTAGTTCCGGGTTCGTTTGCTGGGATTAGCTTTACGCGGTATGAGTGAACCAGAGTGATTTATGAACTGGTGAAAAATCGAATGTTGCAGTGCGTGTTATGGTGAATGTTGCAGTGCGTGTTATGGTGAATGTTGCAGTGCGTGTTATGGTGAATGTTGCAGTGCGTGTTATGGTGAATGTTGCAGTGCGTGTTATGGTGAATGTTGCAGTGCGTGTTATGGTGAATGTTGCAGTGCGTGTTATGGTGAATGTTGCAGTGCGTGTTGTGGGAAGGTAACTATGCATCAGGGGTCCGCAGGTGATTCAAGAACAATGGTAAAAGACTATGGTGTTTCTCAGGTTAGGTTAGGTTAGGGTAAACCATTGCCTTCAGGGGTTAAACCATCGTCTTCAGGGGTTAAACCATCGTCTTCAGGGGGTTAAACCATCGCCTTCAGGGGTTAAACCATCGTCCTCAAAGGGGTTTATGTTTGTTCGTGTGTCTGGTGAGTTAGATAAACAGAAGCAAGTATTTCGCTCAGATAATACTCGTCAATATTGCTCAACCTGGAGAGAAGCACTGTCTAGCGCCATGATATTTACACAAGGGGAAATGAGTCTTGAACATAAAAACACATTCCATAATTTCCTTTGCATATCATCACCCTTCTCTCTCTCTCTCTCTCTCTCTCTCTCTCTCTCTCTCTTGTTGTGGCTGTTTGACTAACCGTAATTGCGACAACTGACATTGATTAATTAGACTGTACCTGCAGGAGATAATGTGATTAGATTATTGGTTAAGGTAAGAGACGGAGAGAGAGGGGGCAAATAATAGGTCACGTCACCTGCCGACGTTTAGGTAATATGCTATAATTACCCACAGAGTAGAAGACACGTTGTATTACTCTCTCTCTCTCTCTCTCTCTCTCTCTCTCTCTCTCTCTCTCTCTCTCGCTCTCTCTCTCTCTCGTGAACACTCCTCGTTACGTTTCAAGCTTAACCCTTTCATCAGGTGTGCAGCAAAATAGGTAAGCGTAATTCAGAGAAACGCAGGGCTATTTACATGATAAAACCGGGTCATTTACAAGAACAAAAAGCGAAAGACGCATAAACCCGAGTCACGTACACGATAAAAATGCGTCATATGCAAGGGAAAAGTGAACTAGTTATGATATGAAGCAGAACAGTTAACATGATGGAATATATAACATTATATCACGTTAAAAGTGAAAATTTAAACCTTTTGGAGGTAAACTTGGATATTTTAACTCAAAGACATTTACAGTTTAGTAACCATTTATTAGATCAAATTTAACTTATTTTTTTTCCAGGAAAAAAGTGATGATTCGTTACCATTTTCGATAATAATACAATAGTTTCCCTTCATATCATTTTCTTTGATTATCTTTTTATTTGTGTATAACCGATGTAAACTATAATCTACTCCGGCCTCTGTGTATTGGGTGTATTGTGCGGCCTCTGTGTACTGGGTGTATTGTGCGGCCTCTGTGTACTGGGTGTATTGTGCGGCCTCTGTGTACTGGTGGTATTGTGGCCTCTGTGTACTGGGTGTATTGTGCGGCCTCTGTACTGGTATTGTGTCTCTGTGTACTGTGTATTGGTGGCCCTCTGTGTACTGGTGTATTGTGCGGGCCTCTTGTACTGGGTGTATTGTGCGGCCTCTGGTACTGGTGTATTGTGCGGCCTCTGTGTACTGGGTGTGGCCAGGCTCCTGTGTACTGGTGTGTATTGTGCGGCCTCTCTACTGGGTGTATTGTGCGTCTCTACTGGTGTATTGTGCGGCCTCTGTGTACTGTGTATTGTGTGGCCCTTGTGTACTGTGTATAGTGGCCTGTACTGTGTATTGTGCGGCCTCTCTACTGGGTAGTGGCCTCTGTGTACTGGGTGTATTGTGTGGCCTCTGTGTACTGGTTGTATTAGGACAAGGTGTAGTAACGTGGGGACCTCCAGCGGCTGGGGTGAGTGTTACCATCTTCCATGTGAGTTATATTGTTTATTAAAAGGTAACTCGTGAGAAAACAGTTTATGGCCACAACATTCTGCTGTCATACGAATTTATATAACTACTACTATATAAACACATAATATAAACCAGAGAATATATATATATACAAAAACACAATAGTACTTTGATTTAACATATAAACTCTGGAATTTTAACTATAACAAACGCCATTTGACCTTACCTGAACACACCTGAACACCTAAAAATCCAGACTCCGGGACGATTCAGCTCAGGGCGGTCATGAGGAGTGATGAAGCAATGGTTTTTTATTGAGTAAGGGAGTTTCTCATTGACCTGTATTGATGAAAGGCGGAGATATGAGGTGAATGTTTGTTTTGTGTGCTTTGTAGTGGTGTTTAATGTGGGTTATGTTTTAATGATGATGATAATAATGGTAGAGATGTTAATACGGTTTTTATATTTGAAGAGTCTCTCATACAATCACTATAACACTATTATTACCACTACCTCCACTACTACCAATGCCGTCACTATCACCACACCACCACCACACCACCACCTCACCACACCACCCTCACAACACCCTCACCACACCACATCACCACCACACCACCACATCACCACCACACCACCACCCCTCACCACACCACCAACCTCACCACACCTCACCACACCACCACCCTCACCACACCCTCACCACACCGCAGTCAACGCGTCACTGTGTTTGTTGACATGCAGCTCAAACCTGAACGATACTTTGTGAATCACCGACGACACGCAACACTTCTCTGTCCTTTCGTTCAAAATATCCCAGATTTATAAACTTTCGTCTCGTATCAAAAGATTATCGGATGTAAATTACTAGTTTGTTAATCTTAAGTAAAATCAAAGCTATTTGTTAGTTCTTATTAGAGTAAACATCGTGGGTTAGGTTTCCATGTTGTAATAGTTAAGGAAAATTGACGCCTTGAAGTGGGAGGGAAGTACAAGAAGCGTCTAGGGAAGGATGGCTACTGGGAACCTTCCATACTAAGACCACGCCCTTCCTCTTGTGACCACGCCCACCTCCTCTTGTGACCACGCCCGCCCCTTTTTGTGACCACGCCCACCTCCTCTAGTGACCACGCTCCTTCTTGTGACCACGCCCACCTCCTTCTTGTGACCACGCCCACCTCTTCTTGTGACCACGCCCACCCCTTCTTGTGACCACGCCCACTACATTAACCAACCCATGTTAGTTAACCACGCCCACTTCACGCCCACACCATTAACCACGCCCACCTTACAGTATCACTTGTGGGTTATCGAGGTTCTTCTGTCTGTGTATTAATATTATGAGATGACAGTGTGTAGTGGTGTGGTGCCGGAGACAGACAGACAGACAGACAGACAGACGACAGTTACAATGGCGTCAATACTGTGCTAAGACTCTAACTACTTACCTATCTTACTGTAGTTAATTATTAAGTTGAAGGCTTATTAAGACTTGGAGCCCATTAGGATTTGGGGCCATTGGATTTGGGGCCCATTAGGATTTGGAGACCATTAGGATTTGGGCCCATATTGGGATTTGGGGCCCATTAGGTTTAGGGGCCCATTAGGATTTGGGGCCCATAAGTTAGGCCCATTGGGATTTGGAACCATTAGGTTGAGACCATTAAGATTTGGGGCCTATTAGGACTTGGGGTCCCACTAATACTTGGGGCCCATTAAGACTTGGGGCCTTAAGACTTGGGGCCCATTAACATTGGGGCCCTAATAGGACTCATTCAGTAAGACTTTGGTGCTTAATGGAGAAAGAAGAGGTTAAGTACTAAGTGTGACCCCCCTCTCCCTCCTCTTTTCCTCTCTCTCTCTCTCTCTCTCTCCTCTTTCCTTCGCTGCTCGTAAACTGCTTCTGTGTGTGTGTGTGTGTGTGTGTGTGTGTGTGTGTGTGTGTGTGTGTGTGTGTGTGTGTGTGTGTGTGTGTGTGTGTGTGTGTGTGTGTGTGTGCTGTTGTGTGTGTGTGTGTGTGTGTGTGTGTGTCTGTGTTCTTGTTTCTCATTCTCTTTTCTCCTCCTCGTCCCCTCCTCCTCCTCTTCCTCCTCCCCTCCCCTCCCTCCTCCTCCCCTCCCCCTCACCCTCCTCCTCCCCCTCTCCTCCTCCTCCTCCTCCTCCTCCCTCCTCCTCCTCCTCCTCCTCCTCCTCCTCCTCCTCCTCCTCCTCCTCCTCCTCCTCCCTCCTCCTCCTCCCCTCCTCCTCCCCTCTCCTCTCCTCCCCCCTCCTCCCTCCTCCTCCCCCTCCCTCCTCCCTCTCCCCTCCCCTCCCCTCCTCCTCTCCCTCCCCCTCCTCCTCCTCCTCCCCTCCCCTCCCCTCCCTCCCTCCCCTCCTCCTCCCCCTCCCCTCCCCTCCCCTCCCCTCCCCTCCCTCCTCCTCCCCTCCCCTCCTCCTCCTCCTCCCCCTCCCCTCCCCTCCTCCTCCTCTTCCTCAGAGATAATTGGCTTAGTCTCAACCACAGCACCACACTAACCCCACCAACCCACGCACATAACCCAACCCCTTAACACAACCCACTAACAACACAACCCACTAACCTGCCAAGCCTACAAACACAACCCACTAACCCACCAGCTCACTAACCCACAAACCACCAAGCCTCAAACACAACCCACTAACACAGCTCACTAACACAACCCACCAAGCCCACAAACACAACCCACTAACCCACCAGCTCACTAACACAAACCCACCAAGCCCCAGCAACCCCACTACACCCCATCCACTAACCCACAAACCCACCAAGCCCACAAACACAACCCACTAACACCAAGCCCAAACACAACCACTAACCCACTAACCCTTAGCCCACCAACCGAAAAGCGTAAGACCAGCAAATAATTCCCAGACTTCAACCAGATTCCATGCTGTCAGATCAGACTGGCCAATCAGAAGAGAGATTCATCCTGTCTTTATGGCGAGACCTTAAACTGAACCGTGATTGGAGGGTGGAGAGAGGTGGAGGGTGGAGGGAGGTAGTGGAGAAAGGAGGAAGGGGAGGGTAGGGTGAGGTAGGAAGAGGGAGGGAAGGGAGAGGAAGGGGAGGAGGAAAGAGAGGGCAGGAAGAGGAGGGGGAGGAAGACAAGATTGTATCCACATTTGTAAGCTGTTACCTGTACTATTCCTGTACATATTACCTGTACATATTATTACCTGTACCTATTACCTGTACTTATTACCTGTACCTGTATGATAATTAATTTATTGAACACGTCACTCTGGTCAGCCTTAAAGCACTAAAAACATATTAAACCACCTCATCTGTACTGTATTTCCCGACGATAATTACCGAGGCGGATGACAGACTCCTCAGTAGAATCAAAGTCCTTAATTCAGGATTAAGACCAAACAAACTTCTATATCTTTACTTACATAGATTTTAAATAAGTGATAGAAATTACTTATATACATGTAAGAGTTATGTGTGTGTGTATGTGTGTGTGTGTGTGTGTGTGTGTGTGTGTGTGTGTGTGTGTGTATGGTGTGTATGTGTGTATGTGTGTATGTGTGTGTGTGTGTATGTGTGTATGTGTGTGTGTGTGTATGTGTGTGTGTGTGTATGGTGTATGTTGTGTTGTGTGTGTGTGTGTGTGTGTGTGTATGTGTGTGTGTGTGTGTGTGTGTGTGTGTGTGTGTGTGTGTATGTGTGTATGTGTGTATGTGTGTGTGTGTATGTGTGTGTGTGTGTATGTGTGTATGTATGTGTGTATGTGTGTATGTGTGTGTGTGTGTATGTGTGTATGTGTGTGTGTGTGTGTGTGTGTGTGTGTGTGTGTGTGTGTGTGTGTGTGTGTGTGTGTGTGTGTGTGTGTGTATGTGTGTGTGTGTGTGTGTGTGTGTGTGTGTGTGTGTGTGTGTGTGTGTGTGTGTGTGTGTGTGTGTGTGTGTGTGTGTGTGTGTGTCTTGACTCGGACTTATCTATGCTTCTATTTGCTTGCGTCTCTTCCTCTTCATATATCTTAATTAAAAGACAAATTAATCACCTGCAAATCCTGTGTATTACTCGCCACTTACAACCTTGATGGCTCGTACCCTTATGGTAATCAGGATGAGGTTTAATTAGAAGAGAACAGGTGTTAAACAGGTAAGTAGTGATGATGATGACGGGGTAGATATCAGAACGACTTGTGTCCCGTCACCTCAGGGTTATGTGATTTGTGTTAGGGATTTATCTTCGGTCGTTAATCATAGCAGAGGAGAGAATTGATTTATTTGATACTATTAAAAATAAATCATAAATTCTTGTTAAAGTCTTATTCTCTGGTGTTAAATTTTAGGAAAGAATTTATTTTATTTGAGAATATTGAGGGAAATGATTTATAATTCTCGTTATATTTTTAAGTCTCTGGCTGGATCTGTTTTAGGGGACTTTAATTCTCACGGGATAGTTATGAAAATATTCAATTCTGGTGTTATCTTTCATTCTCTACCCAGTACTGCAAGAGATGTTAGAATTTTATTATACTAATAAATTTCAGCATTTTTTATATTAAATTCTATGGACGTATGAAGTTAACAGATAAGAATTTTGTGAAAGATATGAAAAATTCCCAAATTCATTCTCTCTCTCCTCTTTTCTCTTCTCTCTCTCTCTCTCTCTCTCTCTCTTCTCATCCTCTTCCTTTGATAAATTTCGGAAAGAGGAAGAGGAGACAAGAAAGGAGAGATATTGAAGAAGAACAAGAGAGAGAGGAGGAGTCGTAAATCTTTTATTTCTGCTAATAAGTGCCCTCACGCCGACCCCAGTGACATAAGGGCATAAGTACTGTCATAATTCCTCGCCCTTATCAAACTCTCTTCTCTTTAAGGACTGAGGCGACGATGGTTGTTGTTGTTGTTGTTTGTTGTTGTTGTTGTTGCTGTGGTCGTTTGTTGTTGTTGTTGTTGCTGTGGTTGTTGTTGTTGTTGTTGTTGTTGCTGTGGTTTGTTTATTTGTTTGTTGTTGTTTGCTGTGGTTGTTGTTGTTTTGGTTTTTGTTTTGCTGTGGTTGTTTGTTGTTGTTGTTGTTGTTGTTGTTGCTGTGGTTGTTTGTTGTTGTTGTTGTTGCTGTGGTTGTTGTTGTTGTTGTTGTTGTTGCTGTTGTTGTTGTTGTTGCTGTGGTTGTTGTTGTTGTTGTTGTTGTTGTTGTTGATGCTTTGTTTTTGTGTTTGTGCTGATGTCCACATTCCTTCACTGATGTCGTTGGCATATCCGATGTCATTGCTGATGTCACGTGGCATATCAGATGTCATTGGCCATACTCCACTGAGCCCTTCTAACCTTGCACCA